GAGAAGAGAACAACTGAAACCTACATGTTGTCTTCTGTTGTCCTCCAAGTAAGTGCTGTGAGGTGCACACACCAACATATATACACACAAATAAAAAAAATAGTTAATTAATTGAAAACCTGGGGGAATAGGGTACTAATTAGAAGTATGGTGAATAATTCATATAATAGAAGACTCAAGCAGGCACACCTCAGGAAAAAAAAATCTAGAGATTTCACCATGACAGACTTTTAATAGTTACTTTCCAACTAGTCATCAGAATGTCTAGTTAGTTAATGACTATGTGTTTGGTCATGCCATATACTTCATATTAAATCATATTCAACCAAGTATTCATATTAAACCAAATCTCTTAATAAAGTCATGTGACTAACTTATGCTGTATACCCAATCTCAATGCTCCTAAAGTATAAGAAATTAGAAGTTTAAAATTGATAATCACAGCATTTTCTTTCTGAAAAAAAATTTTATGAAAACTGTAGATTTTTATACACACAAACTAAGGAATAAACAATCACCCTATATATAAACCCCTAAACAAGCATGCCACTATTTCACTATATATATATATATATATATATATATATATATATATATACTGTTTCTTTAACTGAAAGTCTCATCTCTATTTTGTACATCAGCCTAATTTCTAATCAATTGGTAATAAAAGACATGCATAGCTTGTTATCCTTTCCATGGCCACCAAACACCAAAGAGCAGCTTTGGACCACAAGCAATGCTTTGCTGGATAGAGTCCTCACAATAAACACTGAGAATGTACACATCCATGGAAGTTACCTTCCCTTTCTGTTGTTATTCTGATCATTAGTATTTCTCATAGAATATTACAAGTCTTGCTGGATCTTCTCCCAATGAGAAAGGAATGGGATCCTTTTCTTGTAACACAAAAGGAAGGAGTATGTGTGTTCCCCTGAATCTGCTGTAAGGCAATGTCACAGGATAACCTAAAATCTGAATATGATCTTGCTCTGTTTTTTCTGCACATAACCAAGATGTTGTTTTGCTTAGTGCCTGTGTGAGTCATTCCTGTCTTAGTGACATTAATGCTTGCAATACAGAAGTAGAATGACATCCTGGGAGTGATGGTGGTAATGATAGATGTTAGGTGATATGTTGTCCACTCAGCAGAGAGACTAATGCCCTGGGAATACTAACATATGATACCTGCTGAATTTTCTCATAGGTTAGAGGTAGAAAAAGTTATTCTCCCATTCTTACCTGTATAATTTAACCTATATTAACATTATCTGAAATTTATTGTTTAAATGTCTATTTCTGTTAGTGAATTTAGGTGTTTATTTATTACTGTGTCACCAACACTCACTCTGGATCCTGATTTCTTTTTATGTTACCATAAATATTTTATTACATAAACAAGTTAAAGAGAATTTGAAAAGGATGTACACACACACATACACACAATGTCTTATGATATGAGTCAATAATACCCATTTTTCAACCAGTGCTGAAGGTCTTATTTTTTCTATTGCTGTGATAACATATAGAGACAAAAGCCATTTAGGGCAAAAAAGGGTTTCTTTGAGTGTAAATTTGGATGCTACAGTCCATCATGTCAAGAAATCACAGCAGCAGGAGTTTAAGACAATTCAGCACATTAACAATCAAGAAACATACAGATGATAAATGGTTGGCTGTTGTCAATTTTTTGTATTTAAGACAGTGCCCAGTAAGTAGTAGATGTTCAACTCTTGCTGGAAAAAAATGAGTGCAGAAGAAAGACTCTAAATAAAAATAAAATCTTAACTTAAATTTATTTTAACTAAGGCCCACTCCACAAAGAATTCATACCTGACACTGTTTGGGTAACCAAGATCCAGACAGTAGATGGCCCAGAGTACTAAGATAAAACCAAATACTGCTGGTATTAAACAGTAATAATCAATAAAGTGATTCCTAATGATATTCTGCTATACTCAAAGATCCACTCATCACCAGAGAAGCTTCCTTCTACAGCAGATGGGAACAAATATAGAGACCACAACCAGACATTATACACAGAAAGAGTCTAAATTGGAGGTCTCCAGCAAGTCCCTCCACTCAGAGCTCAGGGAATCCAATGGAAGGGGAGGTGGGAAAATTATAAGAATCAAAGGAGATATAAAACAGCAGGAGATCAAGGTCCTCTGCTGAAATTAAACAAAGTGCATATGAGCTCACAGAAACTGAATCAGCAAGAACAGAGCCTACATGACTCTGCACCATGTCCTCTAAGCATACATTATAACCATTAACTTAGTATTTTTATGACTCCTGATTGTGAGCGCAAGTAAGTCTCTGAATCTTGTGCCTGCTCTTGGGAATCTTTTCTTCTGGTTGGGTTGCTGTGTTCTGCAGTGGGAGTACATTCCACTCCTTCAGTCAATAGCCTTTAAGACACCAGCCCATTTGGGCATGGTCTCTTGTACTATAAAAGTAGCTGTAAAGCATGCACTCCCTCTCTGGCTTCCAGCTCCCACTTCTGGCTGCTAGACTCTGTTCCTATTCATGCAGAGGATTGGTGTTTTTTTTTCTTTTTTTCTCTTTTATTTTATTTATTTATTTATTAAAGATTTCTGCCTCCTCCCAGCCACTGCCTCCCATTTCCCTCCTCCTGCCCCGATCAAGTCCCCCTTCCCTGATCAAGTCCCCCTCCCTCATCAGCCCAAAGAGCAATCAGGGTTCCCTGACCTGTGGGAAGTCCAAGGACCACCCACCTCCATCCAGGTCTAGTAAGGTGAGCATCCAAACTGCCTAGGCTCCCACAAAGCCAGTACGTGTAGTAGGATCAAAAACCCATTGCCATTGTTCTTGAGTTCTCAGTAGTCCTCATTGTCCACTATGTTCAGCAAGTCCGGTTTTATCCCATGCTTTTTCAGACCCAGGCCAGCTGGCCTTGGTGAGTTCCCGATAGAACATCCCCATTGTCTCAGTGTGTGGGTGCACCCCTAGCAGTCCTGAGTTCCTTGCTCGCATGCAGTGGATTGTTATCTAGGACAATGATCTGTAAGTTTCCCCTTACATAAATAACCCTTTTATTGTTCATAACTCTAAACTGATGTGGGGATTATTTTGTGACTTCTATCATCAGTGTTCAACTTCAATATGAAAGTTTTTCCTTCATCTTATTATATTTTATTTTGTCATGTTTGGTTGTTACCTCTTAGAATCTTTTGCTAATGAGAGATAGAAAAAGAGTGGATCTGGAGAAGAGAGGAGGTGGGGAGGAACTGAAAGGAATAGAGGGAGGGAAAACTATAATCAGGATATATTGTATTAGAAAAGAATCTATCTTCAATAAAAGAAAAAATATAAAGGTAAATGGCTCAGTTTAAAAAACTATAATGTATAGTTTTTTACATTATACATTTTACATGTATATGGTTCCTGACTCATAGGATACATGGGAGAGTAAATGAATAAATCTACCACAATTTACAGACACGAAAGAGACCCCAGATTGTCATTCTTGGAAGGTGGTCACAGTTCTCGCTTTTAGTTCCATTCTTTAGACACTTAGTTAACGTTTCTATTGCTGTGACAAAACACCATGATCAAAAGTAACTGGGGAAGAAAGGGTTTATTTCCACTTATACTCAGGTCACATTCCATCATTGAGGGAACTCAAGGCAGAAACATAAAACAGGAACTGAAGCAGAGACCTAGAGAAACAAAGCTGGCTTGCTCCCATCACTGGTTCAGCCTGCTTTTTTATGCAAATAAGGACCAACTACCCCAGTAGCACTGCTCCCCACTGCATTCTGTAGTAAACTGAATCCTTCCACAAAAATTATTAATTAAGAAAGTGACCTAGATTTGCCTATAGGCAATTTTATGGAAGTATTTTCTTTTTCAGTTGAGGTCCTTTCCCAGATAACTCTAACCTGTGTCAAACTGTTTAAAAAAAAAAAAAAAAAACTAACCAGGACAGATATCATATATTTTTCTTAACACAGATGACTTTCTTTATCGTTTTCTTCATAATTCTTTTTTATTCCAAGGTCCTTTCTTAGTCATGTTTTCAGTTTAAATTTCTGCCCCATCTCTAATGTCAACACTACTTCATTCTGTTTCCACAATTCTATCAAATATGGTTCCCAGCACCATGTAACTATGGGAACCCTTGTGGTTCAGTTAACTAGTCAGTTGCTAAGTTGAGGCATCCCTATAACTAATACCCCATAATTATTACCCCAAAAGCTAAAAGTAATATTTATTCCCAAATGGCACAAGTTAGAGCATAATTGTGGTTGTCCACTTAATTTTATGTAGTAAAGAATATGTTCAGTTATTGTGTGATGTTTTGATGTCATTCTGACAATGAAGTTCTCTTTAAGTCAGAGGGCAGAGCTTGCTACTAAATGAACAAAATTAACCTTACAGGTTTTGGAGGACTGAAGAGAGAGAGAGAGAGAGAGAGAGAGAGAGAGAGAGAGAGAGAGAGAGAGAGAGAGAGAGAGAAACAGGAAGTAGTAGGGCAGGGAGTATCTTGGCCCTTTTGGATGGAGGAGCAACACAGATAGGAGACCACTGGTCACTTCTCTGCCACTTTTCTAATCATTCAGGTTCTTGCCCCGATATCTGACCTCTGAGTTTTTATCGACAAATAATTAGATAAATGTACTACCCAGTCCCCTCTTCTGAGATTTTAATAAGCAGATCAGGAAACTGTAGAAATGTAGGAAGTCTAAGAACATATTAAAATCCATAGAAACCCTAATGCCTCCTAATTTTTTGTTTTGTTTTATTTTCAAGGATTCCCCTTGAAGTTTTGTTTCAAATCACTTCGCCAACACGGTGTAGGATGCTGTTTTGTTTCAGTCTTCTTACTTGTGAAGCCAGAGAGGGGAAAAAATTGTCATGTGCGCCAAAGTCACCTCTCCTTCAGGACTTACGAAGAGGAAAATATTTTCCCTTTTGTGGGCCTTAAAAAAAAATAATTGAAACATTCTCTCTCTTGCTGGCTAATTGAACCCATTCACCTGTGACATATGCAAGCTGTGCTACCTTCAGGACCACACGAGTCTGTTGGCAGGGGCACTCACAGGGTGCTCTCTGCCAGCGCAAAACTGCTGATGTTTTCAGATGCTCTTCCTTGTTAAATCCTAGTGGGTGAGCATAAACAAGCAGCTCGATTTAGTCAGGAAATGGCAGTGCTGAGAGGGGAGAGGAGGTGTGACAACACTATCTCCATTCTCTTGCTAAGTCAACCAGAGTCTGCACAAAACCACAAATCCATCATACGTGCTGCTGTCCTTCTACAGCAGAAGCACACTGGCTTAATGCCTCCAGGACATTTCTTAACTCCTTCCTCAGGATTTCTCCTCTATCTTAGATTCTCCTAGAACAAGAAATCGGGGGGCAAACCAGAGCAAATAAAAATATAATGCTATCATACATCTTAATTCTCACTATGCTGTGTTTCCAAAAAGCCATAGGTCAGTTCTCTGTGCACCCTTTCACGGATGGTCCAATTGAACTACTAAGCCACCTACCTGTCATGTGTCCACTTCTTCATAATACACACTTGCATCTTCCCCATATATTATGAAATTTCAAAAGAGTATAAACAGAGAAATGCATAGATGAATTAATAAAAAAAAGCTTGTTTTTTTTTTCTCTAACTGATGAGTACACTTTCTGTGTTATATTCCTAAGATTAACTTCCCTTATATGCCTAAACTGTTTAGTAACATAAATTTTAAGAAATCATTAAAAAAAAATTTCTCCACTATCAGTAGTCCTATAACAATGAAAACATTGACTACAACTATGGTTCTTCTGTTTCTAAAAGGTTACCTACCTCTAAAGTGCCGTTGGATCAGCTGGTCATGAAGAGTCAGACTTGGCAAACATGAAGTGACTCCATCTTCTTGTCATCTTGCCCTTGTCAGGATAAGTTGTATGGTGCAGATAGCTCAGGCCACTCTTGAATTTGCTGTGGATCTTTGAACTCCTGATCTTCCCATCTCTGACTCACATGTGTTGAGATTACAGGCATGTCCCATCCTGCCCATGTCAAGTCCTTCTAAGTAGTCAATTTCACACCATTTTGTCTTTTTGGACAATCAGCAAAAATTGTGAAATAAAGAGAAACTGTAGCCAACAGTTCGAGAAAGCCGCTGCTGCTCAGTTGCCGCTGCCAAGGACACAACCTTGTGGGGAGGGCCTTTACCTACTACTGAGCTACTCCCTATTCTCTGACAGCTACCTTTAATTCCCAGTGTTCCTTGCCAAACCTGCCAATACTGGACTTCCTCAGTCTCCAAGTTATAAACATTTTCTCAGCAAAAAATTGTAAAAATTCTGATAGGAACAAATGCACAGAAACTACAATAACAGCTTATTAAGGGTTAAGTGCTTTTAGTGAAATTGAGTAACAGATTATTTCTTTAAAAGTAGCTTGTTCTTGAAATTTATATTCATGCTGAATGCTTATGATCAGCTGCTGTCTTCCTAGAATGGCAATGTGAGAATCAAAGTTGTTTTAATTAACAAAAAAAGAGAGACGGGTGCTTGTCACAAACTTGGTCCTAGGCAAGGGGCTGAACATGAGGTTTCTGCCGCAACGCTCTTTGGCAAACATAAAATACTGTCAGATGCTGTGCTGAAATGTCCTGAGAACAAGTTCACCTTCCTTTCATGCAGGCATTGAAATTTGCCTTTTTAGATCTAGTACTCTTTCTTCTTTAAATTGTTGCTATATCAACCTGTTTTGTTTTGTTTTGTTGTTTTGTGAAGATGTTTCGCTCTTATCTTTCAATGAGCATTTGTCCTCCAAATGACTGCAGAGTAAAATATGAGTCGTGCTAGAGACACTTCATTAATAATTGATTGTTATCCAATGAAAAACAGGAATGATAATTACGGGAAAATTCAGAGCCTTAAGAATAAAGAGTGTGAGTCCAGAGAGATTACTGAGGATATAAGCATGCTTGCTGTCAAGACTGATAGCCCTTGCTTTGTCCCCACAACTTTAGTGGCCGAAGGAAACAATGGACTCCCACAGCTTGTTTTCTGACATCTAAACACATGTCATGCTACACAATTGTGTGTATGCATACATATGTCAAGGAAAAAAAACACAATATTATAGGAGGTAAGAGTAGACCCACATCTATCCATTTTCATGAGGAAGTAGCCTAAGAAAGATGAACTTGCCTAGAAAAAGTCAGGATAGAATCTATTATGTTACAGTTGAGAAACGAAAACCAGCTGTTGCAGGTGCATTTTCACTGTCTCATGCAAACAGGAAATTTTAGTACAGCAAATAAAATCAAGAAGCTCCTAATGAATGTAAGTTTGAGAAACAAGCAAGACCCTGTCTTGAACCCTAAGCAGGAAGTGGTTTCTTCCCAAGACAGCCATAAATCTCCAGTAGCAACACCATACTGAATGAATACCAGTTTCTGGGAATGAAATGAATATGCTGTCTGTTCACATTAATAAGGGGACTGCATTTTTCCACAATAATAACCAGTGATTTGAAAAACACAGTTCATGATATAGAGATACAGTACACTCTACACAACCAACTATAAAGAAGCAACTATCAGAATTCACACAAAAAATAGTAAATACTTCATGCAAAAAATAAAGGTATTTTCTTACCTCAGTGTTAACCTCAATTGTGGATGTTAAATTAACATATCTATTAATAATAGCAACAAATTCCATCAGATACCTAGGAGTAATTAAACAATCATTATTTTTAGTTAAATATGAGTAAATCAACATCTAAGAAAGAACATTTGCATTTAAACTCGGTCTGCGTCATACAAGAGATAGTGCAAAGACGTTAATCTTCCTCTGAATTACTTTATGAATTCAATTCCAGTAAAATATAAAATCTATTTTTATTGTTAAAAGCCACTTATTTATTTATTTATTTATTAAAGATTTCTGTCTCTTCCCCACCGCTGCCTCCCCTTTCCC